TTCTTGGGATTTGAGACCATACTTCAGGGCCCTGATCCAGAACAAAGAGCTCCTGTTTCGAGTTGGGAATCTCTAACTTGCATCTTCCCATTTAATGTCCTCTCTTGTCTCAGGAAAGTTGTTTCAGCTCATTGCCTCAGTTTCTCCATTCACTTGCTTCCCTTTAGTAATCTTAGGTTAACACATACTGTGCCTGCAGCAGCCGTATTATGGAAATCATTAACTGAACTCATCCGGATGGTTAAGCACACTGAAAATAAAGATGAGACTGTTGGGCACCATAGTGACAGTGAGATGACAGTAGCTGTATGAAAACCCAGAGGCAGGTTTAGGCAGTGAGGATGTTAAGAAACTGCCTGTTTTGGTGATGAAGTTTCTCTTCTGTACACTGAATTTGAAAGTCCCATTGTGCAAATACCAGAGGTGCTGTGATGTCCTGGACATGTGGGGTTGCTTGGGCATGAAACCTCTGGACTGACTCTGCTTTTTTCGGCATGTGCTGAGAGCAAATACTCCCTCTCTGCTCAACGATGCTGGCTCATGCATTTCTTCCAGCCTTTCTTTTTCTAGTTTTTCCCATTCTTCATGCTCCCTTCCTGTTTCCCTCAGGTCTCGTCTTGCCTCTGTTATTCTCAAATGCTGAAGTTTTCAGATATCCTCCATTCATGTGACTGTGTACATGGTTGCGTGCTTTCTCTTGGAAGGCCGCTGCCTGCCTCACTGCACAGGATCGATGTCATCACTTAATGACTAGAAATTCAATACTTTGTTTCATGCGACTTCCTCGGTATATGATCCGTTTCTCACCTTCTTGTCCTCTTCAGATTTTGCTATGACTGTGGGCTTGCATCTACTTGTGTGTAGCACTCTTCAGCGTGGTATCTGACTGCTTCCTAAACTATTTATTTTTTTGACATGGCTATAAGGCGAAGCTAGTGGCGTTGTTCTTGTCATGCAGATGAGAAGCTGATGCATATACCGGTGAGGATCAACTGTCTCCACTAGGTTTAGTTGCCACTTTCAGATGGTTTTTTTTCCTTTCTCCAGCACCACCCTTTGGCTTGCAGAAATCCCCTGCTCATCTGGGGTGTGTGCTCCAACTTTTGCAACAGGTAGGGCCATAGAGCATGGACCTGCTAAGCAAACACTGATGGCAAAAATGGTCCCTGCCAAGATCAGCCAACAGTCCAGCATCAGGAGTGGTAATAAGGCTATGCAGCAGCTTTAGCTCTCATGCTTCCCATCTTTCTTTTGCAGCCCTAGTGGGAGAAGAATGAAATAAATGTATTTTCCATGGTCTTCAGAAAGCAGAACTGGGGGAAAAAAAAATCCAGTTGTGTGGCTGCGTTTCCCTGTGAATGCTGGGGCAAGACGGGAAGTGTGAGATTCACATCACTGACGTCTGCCACCGTGTTTGCTGGCAGCTGTGTTGTCGCAAATGGCAGCAGTAGCAGGTTGTAGCCCTCTGTGAGCCATCAGTGCAGGAAGATGCCAGTGGAAGATTCCCAACTACTTCTAGAAGCAGAGGGATGCTGAATCAGGAATAATGGGCTTGATTCACAGAGGTGTGGTGGCCATGGGTACTTTCTACTCCCTTTTATCTGCAGACTTTTTCCTTTTATCCAGGGTCTCTCCATCTAGTCCTTGCATGTCCATGTGTCCCCCACGACTGCAGCAAATCCTTCACCCTTCCCCATCTAATTAGATATTCTTTCCCTTCCAGCTGGGGCCAGCCTGGGAGATCTCCCAGTCTCCATTCCAAGATCAGACATCATACGGCTTTTTTGCAGGAGTAGCAAGGACATTTCTTCTCAGCCTTGTGGCTGTAGGGAAGAGCAGATTCCTGTCAGGTGATACATGGTATTTGGTTTACCAAGAGGGAAAGGAGGGGAAAGTATGTACCCTGCATGCAAAAAGTCCAGAGAATTTTGTTGCTAAGCTCTGAATCTCTGTTGAGCGTGTGTGGTGAGCAATTTTCAGGTACTTACTGCTTGGCCAAATCTGAGGTGATTTTGTTAAAGGAGGAAGGACATACAATATTTCTATTCTGAAAAAATGAAGGAGTGGTTAAAGACTCTCAGTTAAATAGTTGGGATTCTTTTTTATGTGAGTAAATTCTTCTTTTTTTTTTTCCCTAATTTTGTCTTTGGACTGAATATTTTTTTAAAACGTTCATGCCAAAACCAAAACTAGTATGCAATTTTGTGCAGCCTGTTGAGGCTTGGGTGGCAAACATTAATTGAAAACAGGCTTAAGCAGAAAGTATTAGGATGTGTTACCTGCTACCATTACTGCTATGACCTGCAATACCTGTGGGGTGAACCTTCAGTGTTGGCTTCATCTGGTCGAATAATGCAAAAGTCAGTTGAATAGCAGTCCTGTATGAAACTTTTTGCAAAGAGTTAACTGGATTGGAAAGCCCAGTTGCCCATTTTTCTGCATTTTACAAAGGAATTGAAATCTTTCCAAAGTGAGTGTGACACGGGATAAAGTGGAGCATTCTCGTTTGGTAGAATTGTACCTTGGTCAGACAGTTTGCTTACTACATTTGTGGAGGACACTAAGATGGGGGAGACTCATTGGAGGGCAAGTACGTGTTTTAAATAATCTAATAATGATGGAGGTTCAATCTGGGGAAAAAAAAGTGTGATTTGGTAGAAAGAAGAATTGCATTTGGACATGAAAAATCAGTGATGTAAATACATCCCAGGAAGCGACTGGGTCCTTTGTGATTCAGCAGCATGAATCTAAGGATTATAGTGGATCACAAAGGGAACATGAGTTAACAGTGTGAGTTTTGTGAAGAAGCCAAAATCGTATTCTGAGATGTATGAGTAGAGGCAATAGTCTGTGAGACGCATCAAGATTATCCTTCCACTGTACTCAGCATCAGTGAGATCTTGATCTGAGTTGGGTCTATAAAGAGCAATGAGAATAGTCAAAGTCTCTAAAACGTGGCTTCCAAGGAAAGACTGAAGATGATGTTTTAATAAGAAGGGGAGATTGTTGTGGCATTTAAGTTAGATATTGTGGGGAAAGACAAAAAAAAAAGTGCTTCAAGTGAAATCCATTCAATTTCCTGGAAAGATGGTGGAGTTTCTGAGGCTGGAGATCTATAAGATCAGGTCAGGCAAACATCTCTCAGGAGTGATGTGGATGTAGTTGATCCTGCCCAGAGTTCAAGGGAATGGGCTAGATGATGCCATGTGGCCCTTTCAGGCTTTACAGCTCTCTGATGTCCAAGTGTCTTCCCAAAGTGCAAGGCAATGGGAATATAAGCTCTGAGCCTCCTTTTTATGTTTTTGTAGACCTGACTAATCCCATGTGGTTGAGTGTTCTTGAGGGTTTGCTCTTACAGAGTTCCCAGTGGCTCTGCAGCCAGACATGTTTGGTTTGGGGGGACATAACGCCAAAGTTACTCAAGTCTGGAGGCTCCAGTGGGACACTGTCTGGAGTGGGCGAGTGCTGGGGAGAATACGGCACTTAGAGGAGGGGAGGTGGGACAGGAGATCAAAAAGCAATGGGTGTGAGGGGGAGGGTCAGAACAGGTGCTAGGAAAACCTCTTTTCTGACGTAGTCCATTTCAAGCATTGGAGAGGACCAACGGGTAAGTCATATCCAGAGGTGGGAATGATCTAGCAGTTCATTCCTCTCTTAAACCTGGAGAGGGGAAGAGTGGTCTGAGCTGCAGCTGCTGTTTGCGGTCTCCTTTAAGCAACACTTCAGTTTATATACCCTGCCTGGGAAAGCCCAAATCTTTCAACCTTAAGGTTTCCAAAACATGTAGCAGCTGGCCAGCCCCAGCCACTCGCTGCTGTTGGAGGTGAAGGTCAGAGTTGTTCCTGAACCCTCTTCCCATTGGAGGAGCGGTGGCAAAGACTCCTGTGGGAAAGGCTGCTGAGTCAACCACAGAGCATGCAGCTACCAGCGGGGCAGAGGAAAGCCTCCACACTGTAAAAATAGCTGTGCTAGGAGCCCTAATATACTTAAGTGCTTATTTTTCCATGTGTGATCTCATGCAAACCAAGCTGCTGGGCAGTATGACATAGCAGTTGGCCGAAAATAAAATGTAATTCAATCAAAATGTTTTTTCTGAAGTCAACCTTTGATGGGTGGAAGGGACAGGTACCCTGTTTTCTCATTTCCATGAAGTTATCGTTAGAAAAAAAAAACAGGGGGGAAAGACAGGTGAATATGGGATTGACACTTGTGTCCATTTTGTGATGATGGCCAGAGGTTAAGGATAGGAATTGTAGCTCTCTTGCACTGGAAAATTACGCCTATAATACAGTGAGAAAACGTACATGGGATTTCTCTGGGTGCTTCTCCAGCTGATTTCATTGAGTTGAGTTTTGGGTGGGCATTTGATGCTGAAAAAAAGGTATAGATTTGATAGCATTTGAAGCTGAAGCCCACAAAGGAGACTGAGTATCAACAGCCTTGGAACAAGGCACTCTAATCCCTGTTCATAAGCCTCAGAAAAATTTCTTTGGAGGCCTTTAGAGGTTCATTTTCCTTCACTCTTTGATGCTTGGCCTGTTAGGTGATTTTTTTTTTTTTTTTTTTTTTTTTTTGTCAATTGTGGTAGATCTGTGTTGTGGAAGGTGGGCTGAAACCACGAAACCCCTTTGACAAGACATTGAATGCCTGGAAATGCTGGTAGTTTGACCACTGTCCTGCCAGAGCTAGCATTACACTCTTCAGGAAAAACAGTGGCTTACGAATCCCTTGCCGGTAAAGAAACACCTAAGGACTAGGATTGCTTTCCTCCAGCCTCGAAAACGGTGAAAAAACTTGGTAATCCTGAATTTCACATGCAGAAGTATGTGCATCTCATGGCAAAACTCTGGATAAAAACAGGCCAATTTTGGGGATTGTTTTTTTTTCTAGCTATTAACATCACTTTTACTTATTTCAGGTTTTCTTGTTTCTGTAACAGCGAAAGCCGGGGGAGAAAATCCCAGACATCACAATCTTGTCATTACGCTTCTCCTCTGCAGGGCCTCTGACCTGTTTCTGCTGGACACACAGGCGGTGTGGGCCTCGGAGGAGGGCTGGCTGGAGTTTGACGTCACTGCCACCAGTAACATGTGGGTGATGAACCCTCAACACAACATGGGACTGCAGCTGAGTGTGGTGACCCGGGATGGTAGGTTACGGGCCAATTAATGTGAGTAACCTCACGAGCCTCTTGGATGCTGTCTAGAAGTGGTGCTGACAGAGTCCAGTTGTGATGTGGGGCATGAGCATCCTGCCTTTGTAGGCAGCTTGTAGCCAACACCTTGAGGAAAGCATCCTAGGGCACAGATTAAGGGTGGTCAACTTCTTGGCTGTCCCATGACAGACATGTCTTTCCCCATGCGTGAGGTCAGGTGTCTCTGAACAGTACCAGGATGAGGTGGTGGAGGCGGGCTGGGGTAGGGTCCCAGTTCCTGAGCTGGAGATGGAAGGGGGCATGGAGCTGGGATCCCAGGTGGGGTGAGATTTAGGGGTGAGAGGAAGAGAAGAGGGCAGGTATATGGGTATGAGCCTCCACATGTGGGCTTATGGCAGCCTTGCTGGCTGCTGTGGCTGCCGTCGCTGCTCGGATCTCATCAAACCTGAGGTGGGAGCCCTACGCTGAAGCAGCGATGTGGTCGCTGTGTGGGGCTGGTCCCTCCGAGGGCACCTGCAATGGTAGCATTTCACAGCCCTCAGAAACTTCGAAAGGTGGAAAAGGAGAGAAGAGACTGCAAAAGAGCATGAAATTGAGTGTTAAAAGATAAGCGGTGGGGAAGGAGAGGATCTAGATGAGCAGAAGGTGACAAAAAGATGATAGTGACATCTTTCCTGTATAGGAACCAGTTTCCAACCTGATGTTTTCCTCCTATCGCTTCATGCTGGGGTTTGGTACATCTCTGGGGTCAAGTGAGACCAGAGGGGCTGTCCACTGTTCTCCCTGAGGAAATGTTAGTGCCAGCCTCCCCCTCCCCAGAGGGGCTGAGAGCCCGTCCATGTGCTCCTGACAAAAGCATCCCATCTCTTTGCCCTCTGCTTTCCTAGAGGTCTCCTAATACCATCTCTGCTTCTTGTGTTTCACGGGCAGCAGCACTAATTTCATGACATCTGGGCTTTGTGTTTTATATATCTATCTGTATACCTCTTCAATGCCTGAACTGGAATAGAGATGCCATAGGGGTACCAAAGAGCCAGGTGCTGCAGTGGAGTCTCTTGTCCAGGATGGATGGAGTGCTGTTGTAAAAATGTCTATAGGTCATGGTGGGGAGTGGAAGAAGAGTGTGAGCAAGAAGAAAGGAAACACAGCTCATGGGGATGCCGTGATTCTGGAAGGAGCAATCCAACAGCACCATTCCTCTAACATTCACTTTTCTGTCTGATTTCAAGGTTTCAGCGTAAACCCTAGAGAAGCAGGCCTTATAGGCCGAGATGGCCCTTACGACAAACAGCCTTTCATGGTGGCCTTCTTCAAAGTGAGCGAAGTTCATGTGCGGACCACTAGGTCAGCGACAAGCAGACGCAGGCAACAGAGTCGCAACCGCTCCACCCAGGCTCAGGATGTTTCCAGGGTGTCTAGTGTCACAGGTAATCATGCAACACCCGTTTTGTCTGGAAGCTGGGGCGGCTTCTTGTAATGTTTCTATTTGCTTTGGAGTGCAAAAGCAAGAAAGGGGGTGTGAAGTGGAATGCTCTTCCTTGGGGGAGCAGGTTACACCTGCAAGGGGATGGGAGAGGGAGTCTCACATAATGAGACTTACAGCAGTCCTGCTGAAGTGGAGTCCAGACCCCCCGTGTGAAGTCGCAGCCATTGAATTCAGGGGGGTAAGGCGTTTTAACTCCGAATTTTGTGCTTATAAGTTGCTTGCTACGCAGTATTTGCCTAGAATTACGCCACATGAAATGCAGTATTTAAAAGATTCCATCTCTGCGTACACTGAAATTTATGGTATTGCACATACGCATTTCCAGCAGAGTCCTCTTTTGGTTTTCTTTGGAAAAACCCTGGTAGAACAGCACAAGATTCTTTTTTTTTTTTTCCTTTGTGAGAACAGCAGTGTATACATGGTGAAGTGCATTTCCAAGCCAAAGAGGCTTGCCTGTTTGCTGTGGAAAGATTGCATGTTGCAGGTGTTGTACAGCAGCCGTGTGAGTGCTGTTGCAGGCTGGTAGGACAATAGGATAACTCTGAAATTTTGACAAAAATTGAGTGTGTCCTGCCTTCTAAGTCTTGTCTGTTTTCCAGCCACTCTGCCCTGCATCACAGCGCTACAAGTCCTTTGTTCATTGAGTACCTTCTTTCCTCTCAAACATTTCAGCTGGTTCCAAGTTAGTTGATTAATTTGCTTATGCTGCCCCCTTCATTTCCAATAGGATCCCTGCTTTTCCTGTGTCTAGAAATGACTATACCCCAAGGAAGAGAGGCGGTTGTGTTTTTTAGTCTCTCTCCAGACACAGCACGGGGAGATGAGCCAGCATTGCCGAAACTTAGCCAGTGTGAATCTGTAGGCTGTGCCCTGCTCTTGCATGCTTGGGTTGTGGGTGAGCCATGCTGCATCCAAGGTGGCCCTGTGCTGGCCATGGCACTGGGAGCCTGCAGGGAGCCAGAGCCAGGTTGGGAGCCCTGGAGGGGCTATGCCCTGCAGCCAGGCTTTGGGCATGGCTGTGTGCCGATGTAGCCCTATTGCCCCAGCCCAGCATGGTGATGGACTTGCCCTTTGAGCTAGTGTGTGCCAGCAGCAGTTGGCCACTAGCAGCCGTTGCGTGTCCTCGTGGTGCACGCCACAGCGTGGCTGTGGGTCCCCATGCCATGCTGTGCAAGTGCTGGACTCAGTTGGGTGTGAAATCTCGCTTCACGTATTTTAAGAACAGGAGGAACGACTCAGTCCTGCAGCCTGACCTCCCCGAGGGAGGCCGGTCAGTGCCAGCATGGCATTGCGGAGGAGTTATCATCTAATCTGGCGTGGGAGCCCTCTGCCAGCCCCGCAGGTGGAGCCGTCTGTCGGTCCCAATTGCTGAGACCCACTTTGCTCCTGGTTTTCCTTGGGGAAAAGCTGCAGTTTTAATGGTGGGCATCACGGCTGCTCCCTGGGTTACTTTCCCATGTGTGAGGGGCTTGCCGAGGGCATAGGTAGTTTATTCATCTGGGCGTTACAAGCAATCAGCCCAACCATTACACAGGCAGCGTGCAATTCTCCCACTCAGGTGGGCTTGGCTGCTGTGCTCCCTTCATCACGAGAGCCCATTTTTTAATGCGTTCACAGTGCTTTGGGAAAGTTACTTGCTGTGTTGCTGTTTTGTGGTGCTGGTAGCGGAGTCAGAATAGGCTCCAACTTTTTCTCCCTAGCTCCGTAAGCTTCACAGTGCTAAAAACAAATTTTCACTACTATTAAATCAGGCGATGTGACTCAAAGCTCCAGAGGGAGCAGATATATTGGGCAAAAAGGGCCATTTTTACATTGCTGCTTTCTTGACTACACCAAACATCAAGTCGTAAAATTATAAAATGACAAAAAGGGAAAAAATAGCTGGTCATTCTGTGGTCTCAAGGGCTTTTTTGAGCTCTTCTAGCTCAAAGCCAGCTTTAATTTAAAACCTGGAATTTGGCATTTCAGTAGTCAACAAGGTATAGTTGAGCCTCTGTGGATTTAAGGCTGGGGAAAGGAGGGGAATTTGAAGTTAAGATGTATGTTTGGTTGGTTTCTGTATTTAGAAAAGAAAGACTGCATCAGCTTATTTTCCTTTCTAAGTGTGACACTCTTAGACTCTGTTCTTCTTAAGAAGTGGTTGATTTAATAGCCCAAGAGGCACCAGTGACCATATGCGTTTTTAGCATTAAAGAGATCACAGGGATTTTTTCTTTTTCAGTTGTGTGGGTTCCTACGTCTGTGCCCTGATGATGCATGATGGGGCTGGGGAAGCGTTCGCGCCAGGATGAAGCAGGACGCGAGCCTGGGCGTTACCCTGAAGACTGTCTTGCTCTTCTGAGGGTGCCCTGATGCATGTGGACACAAAGTGGGTGCAGAACTGGGATGCTGCGGTCCCCTTCTGTGCATCTCCCTCGCCTGCGCATCTTCCTCTTTCGCTGTATCTTACGTCTTGTCAGATTTTTGGTCTGTGTTCTTCCCCGAGCCAGGATTGCCACTGCCTATCAGGGCTTGAGGGCAGTTTCTCCTCTGGAGAGCAAGGCAGCTGGCTGGTGTTGATGGTTTTTTGTAGATTGCACCTTCCTTCCTCTATGTTAGTGAATACACAGGGTTTTCTTTCTTCAGTCCAAAAATGAATCCCTTTCCCATGAGATGCTGTGAGTTAGGTTGGGGCAATATGTTTAAAAAAATCCCCATTTACTATCTAAATATGGAAAGCATTTCAAGTCCTGCGGTTCGGAGGGCGTGAAGTGTGCTGCTGGGCTGGTACTGGATCTGGTGAGCAGTGGCATTACGTGAAGGCATGCTGCTACGTGCGGGATTGGGACCCTGCTGTGCTGCCTTTGATGTGCAGTTGTTGTCCTGCAGTCAGTACCAAGTGCTCAGATGCTAAGGTTATGGCTGTGGCTTGAGAATCTCAATGGTCTATACTTTTTCGCCAAGAATGCTTATTTCCCTGTATTATAAACACGTAATTATGACTGGCTTATATAAAGCAGAACTGAGTAACCCCCACGGTTATAAACTGCTTTGACATAGAGTCCTGCGTCAATGCATTCCTGGAGCCAAGCTCTGTTCTTCTGCAGAAGGAGGATGAACAGGAAGAAAAGGAAGTATTTTCGTCTGTTGAGGCAGAAAGTCATACACCAGCTCTGGCCTAGGACATGGAGGAACGAGGTGGTTGGGAGGAGTGTGCAGGTGTTTCTCGGCTGTTGTCTGCAAGATCTGGAGGCCCTCGCTCAGCTCTGTCTTGCAGTGGGTTTACCTCATGCTCTCAGACCCCAGGCTGACCCTCTAGTCTGAAGAGATGGGGACTCTCTTCAACATAACAGATGGTGACCCTCGAGCATAAGAGCTTTGCTGCCCTATGGCCAGCTCCTCTGTGAGTTACCTGAATGCTGGTCTCTGTGCTCGGCTGTCTCCCTGCCCAGTGGTGATAACCCTCCTCTTCTGCAAGTCACCCTTCAGGCACATCCCTTCCCATCAGCCCCCTCTTACAGAGAGAGTCGCATTTAAATGTCTGACTTCGGGCTGCATTTGCTGTCCTGAGTGAAACTCATGCAACACCTCTTTTTGGGTCCTTCTTTTTAGCCACCCTGGGGCCTCTGGGACTGGTGTGAGGTCCTCCATGAGAAATGGAGGGGCTCTCCAAGTGGCCTTTCCTTCCAGCAGACATGCACGGCACCAGGCAAATTTTCCCACATGTACGGGAACTAAATACCGCAAAGGGCAGCATGCACAAACACTGGAGGCGAATAAGGCCAAATGCTTGTGCGGTGGCAAGGGTCTTGTTAATAAACATCGTTATCTCGCAGCCAATCTTCCCGTTAGTAGGGAATGCTCGGATGCAGACCGGAGCATACAGAAAGTATGTGCCTTCACATGTGGGTCCATGTCAGCCCGACATCTCCGCTTCTTCCCACCCAAGCAGATCGCTTTCATGTGAAGTGGGCTGTTATTAACTGCATGATCAGTTTACACCAGCTTTATCCGGACAAATCACCAAAGTCAAACACCAAGAAGAAGGGGCTGGCCTTGGAGACCTCTGTCAAAGCTATTTTGGACCACAGAAGCAATTAATTACCGTGTGGAATTTGGTAAGCTGGCACGTTGGGAGCAGCAAGGGTGTTCTCAGACGGATCGACCTCAGTAAATATTTATATATTCTTTGCTGGCACTTAACGTGGGAGAGGTTATAGGAAATCTAAGGTGGGTGCGTAAGTATCTGTAGGAGGAAGACCATTAGGGTCAGGCTATTCTCTCTCCCTTTTCAGCAACACAAATGCCAGTGTCTGGCCTTAAGAGAAACATCTGTGCTCCCAGAAAGTCAGACTTGGGTTCTGGTGAAGGCAGACAACATTCAGTGCAAACAAGCCACAGAGACAAGCCATCTTAACTGTGCTGTTTTAACTGTGCTGCCCTGGAAGTTATTTTTAAGTGCAGAACTAGGGGTTTGGGTTTTTTTAAAATCTCTGTTTTAGACAAAATAGTTTGCAGTGTGATTAAATGCAGTGCCTTGTAAATGCCAAGCTAGTGTTTCTGAATTGGTACATTCAGGGGGAAAAAAGAGATGATTTTGCTAAACCCACAATGAGCCTATAGGAGCTCCCAAAGCAGCTCCATAAACTCGCAGAGATTTTGAAGGTCTCTGGCAAGCAATCCTTGCAAATTGTGTCGTGGCAGCATAAGGCGGCCCCGCGGCGGTTATTTGCAGCGTCCCCCCGCTGCAGGCTGCCTCCTCGCGGCCCTCCCAGCTCCCCGCTGCAGGGCTGCCTGGAGGGACACGTACCCTGTTGCCTCCTGGATGTTGGGTCTTGCACTGCAAACCACCTCAAACAGCAATTTGGGCTAAAACAGTTGAGCATGCTTGACGGGGATAGCTGATACTGCTTGCCAGGCTTTGGAGAAAATGTGTCGTGGAGGCCAAACTTCAGCAGCTCAGTGAGCTTTAGCTCACCGCCAAAAACCCTTTACTGTGTGGATTCCTCTTTTTTCAGGCCCATAATTGGATTATGTGGCTCTAGGGCATATGCCGAGCCCCATCCCGTAGGGAATGGATCGTTACTAAGTGCATCTGTATTGCTGCATTTTTTTCCCCGATTCAGAAAGCCACTGCTAAGGGTTGATTAAAGGTCTGTAACATCCCTAAAGTTGGACTAAAGTAGATTCCATAAAATAGACATGGTAGGCAAAGATGTAACAAGAAGAGAGGGCAGGGGAGCTTGGGCTGAGGGTTAACAGGGGAGAGTGCAAATCCTAGGAGAGGGGATGTTTAATATGTTGACATTTAAGAAAGCAAAGGCTGAGTTTGGGCAAATGAGGAGGTAGAGCTGTCTGCGTCTACCTTGGATGGAGAGTAGCTGGTGCTCAGTGCCAAGTGTGTATCGGGTGACTTGATTGCCAACCAGTGAACCGGGGCACATTTTGGGAGGGCAATTTCAGTCAGTGTGAGAGAGGACATGTTCATAACACGTTCTACTTCATGTTAAGCAGCTCTTTTTTACCTTTGTTTTCTTAAACTTGTGATTGCTCACAGCCTTTCTTCCCACTCCTGTTTTTTCTGCCTCCCTTGCCTTCTCCCCTTTCCCATAGCTGATTTGGGTAAGTTGTAGCTGGATTTGGAACGTAGCGTAGTTCTGCGCACTCAGTTGTGAATAGATCAACTCCACTGTAACTCCCTGTCAAATACAGATGGTTTTCCCCTACACAAACAACATATTTCCCATTGAAGAACAATGAAGTCGTGTTTTCAGGTACTTAAATTAAAGCCTTTGACCACTGAAAGTATATTCTGCTCAATTTTTTCCCTTGTTATGACCAGATCATTTAGAAACATCGCATGCCAGACATTTGCTCCTGGGCTGAGCTAGGGACAGAAAAGCTTCATCTAAGAAAAACGGTCACACCCTGGTTTCTACTGGGTATGTCTGGTTTGAAAATGGAAAGCTTGAATAGAGAGACTCGCCTCCGTCCTTGCTACTGCATGCCCCTGAAAGAGTGAATATTTATGCTGCAGCAGACTGTTAACCAGCTCTGCTCACCTGATTAAATCCGCGATTGAAGCGAAGCTATTGAAAGTCTGAAATGCAATCCTTAAAGTTTAAAATCCAAACTGCTTCTAAAAACAACTCTCTAATCTTTGGTGGTTTGGAGGCTAGGTTTGAGGTGTAGGGTTTTTTCAAACCTCAGTGTTAACTGTACCCAGCTGTAATGCTGTGCTGCCCTTAATGTCAGTTGGATGTGCTTCTAGTATTATAGTTTTTCTTTTGAATAAATATTTGCATTTGTAGTTCCCAAACTTTGGGGGGGGTGGGGTGGGGGGGTGGAGGGAAGAAAAAGAAAGGCTTATTCAGAGCCAAGGAAAAAGTCACTAAAAATATTTTTCTATCCCAGCTGCCGCATTTGGGGAAAGCTGCGCTGGGAGGGTGCCCTTTCAAGCCGCGCTAGGGGCGCCGGGGGGCTGGTTAGCCGAAAGGCCGGGGCAGTGGGAGGCAGGCGCATCAGCGTGTGGCATCTGCCTGCTGACGGAAGCGCCTTTACTTGCAAATGAGGCGTGTGAGAGGAGAGGAGGCCCCTGTGGATAAGGCACCGGAGGAAAACACGGCCAGTCTGGGTCCAGCTCTGGGACAAGTGCACACGTGTCACTGCATGGACGGGGACCTGGGCTCCCACGCTGCTCGGCCAAATTTACCACCATCTCTTCCTCTCGTGCTTCCCATCGGGTGTGAAGCACCGGTTCGGCAGCCATAGCTGGTGGCCAAGCCGCTCCGCTGCGAAGGTGGTTTCTGTGGCTGCTGCGCTGAGGTCCAGCAGCTGCCCGAGGCGTGACTAAATCAGCCACCGCCCGTCAAGGCTGGATTTGTGCAGCCACCCGGGGGTGAAAGGCCCCTCTGTCACGGCTCAGCTCTTCCGCTCGCTGCGGTTCCAGGTGTTCGCGTGCGGAGCCGCCTCTCTTTCCAAATATAAATGGGAAATTCCACTCGCTCTCAAAAGCTGCATTTTGTAGGGCCATTGGGAGCAGCTCCTGCATGGTCAAAACATCCTCATACGTTGTGCCACGGCAAGGGGGAAGGTCTCTGGTCAGGGCTTTGCACCCTGCGCCCCCACTCTTCCATGCAGTATTGGCACTAAGGAACAAGTTAATGTTGAGAGTGTGTCAAATCCTGTGTCATCTGCAGATAAGCGGGTTATGGGAGGGAGGAACTTGTTTTTCAGAGCATGGCTTGTAAAGGTGCAAGAGCGGAGGTGGTATGTGGAGCCGTGTGATGTGTGGGGCAGGCTGGGGGTAAGGCACAGAGAGGGACGGGGACACGGCTTCACTGCCTGTGGGACATCTTAGCTGTTTAAGGACTGCTAAGCGGTACAGGGGCACAAGGTGATGATTAACATTCCGGGGATTGTAATTCTCTCAGTAAGTGTGTGCGTTTTGAGCTTACCACCTAGGGCGGCACATGTTGGAAACTGCGGCCAAGGGAGTGGGGTGAGTTTGAGCAGGGATGTAGCCTGTGCCGGGCTGGAGGAGTAGATTTATTTTTAAGAAGTCATCTTACTGGAGGTGTTTTATAAGCGCTGCTTGTCAAGTTATTAAAGGCAGCTGAAGGAATTATAACCAAGTCATTGTTACTTGGGTGCCTCCATTCCCATAGGCATCTTAAAAGCTTCAGCCCTGCTTTGGATGTCCCTCAACACCCTTATCCTTTTGGCTGCTGAGGGAGCTCGCTCTTTCTAGCTGCTGAGCCCGCAGCATGCACACATCTGGCCAGCTGTGCCCTCCAGCGATGCTCTGCCTGTTTTACTTTCTAAATTCCTCGTTTGTTCTTTTTCTTTTAACAGATTACAACAGCAGTGACTTAAAAACAGCGTGCAGAAAGCATGAGCTTTACGTTAGCTTCCAAGACTTGGGATGGCAGGTGTGTGATGTTTCTTTCTGGGTAAACTAGACATTTTGTTATGAAATGTTATCTAAACAGTGTCAGGGTAATTCCATTCGAGGCTGCCATTATGCTTTAAAATGTCCCTTGTGCCTCCCCACTAAAACCAGTCACAGGGAAGGGCAAATAAATATTGATAGCTGTGACATTTGATAAGATCCAGAAGAAGCTCGATACTTTATGAGATTCAAGTATACCGTCATTCTCTGTCACTCATGGGAGTCACGGTACGGGCAAGTGCTCATATCTGTGTATCTCTAATGATAAGGAAGAAAATCTGATGTTAAGCAGTGATTTTAACAAAATCAAGTTTTTCCTAGTGATCAGCCTAATTTTAACCTTGGCCATTGTGTTGAAATCCTCCACTCCTGCCCCACAATTAGCACTGGCTGTGGTAGGTGAAGACTGAGTTTAGTTGCAACACCGTGAGGCCAGAGAGTTGTTTAGAGGAAGTTATTTAGGGCCAGGCCACTGTGTCATCAAACATCATGTTTCAAAGAATGGCCTCATCTTCTCTTTTTTAAAATTTTTTTTTTATTACTCTCTATTCTGTCATTCAGCACTTTTGTGAGGGAGGTCCCATTTCTATCAGCTAATGCTTTTACCAGATTATCAATCAGGATACCAGGGCTGCCCCCACTGTTTCTGTAATGCCCTAGACATGAAAGTCCTCTCCCAGCTAATCGGACAGCAGCATTTTTTTGTAGCTTATGTCAACTCCATCCCGCTAGCCACAGCTATGGCTGTGTGCTGACTCCATTCCCCATTACTTGTTAGTGGCTTTTCTTTTTACTTATGCACAGTCTTTCCACCTCCTCCTTAGCTCGCTTGCCCTGCTTCCAGGCAGGAAGCGTATTCCAGTTGTGACGTTCACGGTCTCGAAGGCGCTGCCTTCACCTTTCTAGTTGCAGGCTTGAGCAGAAAGGTAAGATGCTGCCAAGGAAGGCCACAGAACAGTAGGGCTCTTTGCAGGAGTTGGAATCCAGATCCTACTTGTTGTAGGGAGATGATGGAGGCAGGGCAGCAGCCCCCTGCAGTTGTTGGGTACTGCTGTCTCATTCAGGACATCCATCAATTTTTTTTAGCATCGATTTTTTTTAACAGCAGAGCACTTCCCTTATTCTTATACCGCATTAAACCACAAATTTAATTACATGGTCTGTACTGGTTTCTGTAGCAGGAGAGTGACTGTCTTATGAAAAGCACCTCGGTTAATGGGGAGCAAATTATGGGTGAGCTAGTACAGTAAAATGAAGGGGTGGTTTTGCTGTGCCCAGGTATCCTCATGTTAGCAATCAAACAGCAAACTTGGTTAGCAAAGCTGCAGCAACAGGCTCTGGCTGCTCAGGCCTGCTGTAGCAAAATTCAAGCTAACCCAGGTGATTGTTGTCAGGTAAAGGGGAAATCATCTAAGAATTATGTGCATGTGAACGTACCAGTACATCCTCCTGCAGGGTGACCTGCAGAGCCTGACACTGAGGGAGGAGAAATGTCTCCTGCTAATTGGTGATGCTTTTAATTTACCTTTGGCTCTTTTGTGTCAGCAGCAGAGAAGCTGTAATTTTTTCATTAGCCCTTTGGTGAAGAGTCACCTTCTTCCACAGCATGGCACTCTGATTGCCACCGGGGCCACCTGTTTGCACACGGAGCTCAGGCTGGCTGTCCTGCCCCTCCTTTAGGAATCTGGCAGAGGTGGAGAAGCTGTTAAGCAGCTAAAACTTCTCACGGTGGCCTTAGCAGACTAGCATCCCTGTATACGAGTGTATAAGGTAGAGTGTCTGTGAGGCACCACACCAGCGTTTTATATTCCCTGGTTGAGTTGTGCGTGTGTGCATGCACATGCATGCACGTACATGATTTTCTCTGGGAGGGGACACCAGCTGAGGCTGTGATTCAACCTAGGCAAGGTAGTTCAGCCAGAGGGCCTAACCTGCAGGAAACGTTGGAACATAAAGGCATCCAAACCACAATCCCCACAAGGCAACTCAGCAAGAGTTTTAGGAATAAAACTCTCTTATTTCGTGGCAGTTAAGCTGTGCACAGACATGCACCATTCTTTGGACATTAAAATTGGTGTGTCCATGGAAAAGTCATGGCTCACAAAAAAAAAAAAAAAAAAAAAAAATCCCCAAACCCTAACAGTTTCAGTGAAAACACATTTTCACCCTCAAGAAAAAAGTTAGTGGAAAATTTTCAGCTGCTCTTAATTGCATGCAGTTGTCTGTACAAGTTGGCAACTTTTTAATTTGACTCATATTCTGTTTGTTTCCTAAAAAGGACTGGATAATCGCTCCAAAAGGCTACGCAGCCAACTACTGTGATGGGGAGTGCTCTTTCCCACTCAACGCCCATATGAACGCAACCAATCATGCCATTGTACAAACTCTGGTAAGTCTCCAGAAAGCTCGATGCCGAAGCAATAGGTGAATTTGTAAATGAGTTACCATTGTCTCAGTTGTGTTTTCTTTTTGGCAACAGGTTCATCTTATGAATCCTGATTATGTTCCCAAACCATGCTGTGCTCCTACCAAACTAAATGCCATATCTGTTCTTTATTTCGATGATAATTCTAACGTAATCTTGAAGAAATACAGGAATATGGTAGTAAGAGCTTGTGGATGTCACTGACAAACAGTCTTCACATGGACTCTCTGACTCTACCATGACCTTCCATACTACCTTCTGTGCTTTCATGAACTACCTGACCTTGGAGAAGAAAAGTAATCAATGAACCATGTATGTGCCTTGTGGGAGGAAGGGGTGTGGGGACCACACGCTGGAACGCAAGCAAACCGCTGGACTTCTTACAGACTGACCCTACGACATGGTGGCTGCTCAGCTCTGCAGAGCTGGAGCGTGCAAAGCAGCAAGATGGCCCCACATGCTTTATTTGGCTGGGACAGTCTTAATCTCACATAGCAGCTTGGCCTTAGCCCTTGCTTGGATGTGTGCTGCAGCTGTACCAAATAGGCACCCAACAGCCAAAACAAGTGAGTTTTTTGTTAGGGGGAGAAGGCGATGGGAGAGGCAGGGAAGCTAGAGTAAAGAAAGTGGTGTTAGTACTTCAGACTTAGAGCATATATCTTGTACAAGATAATAAAAAATTGCCTTTTGTCTAAAAGGACCAGTTACTACACCTAGGCTGTTAGTCTCTTCCTAAAAGCTGTCATGACAGTAAGCATCTTAGATTGTGCCAAAACAAGTGTTTCGGTTCTCTTATTCTTCAAGCACAGTGTAAGTCTGATCCTGCAAGCATAAGATAGCTTGGCTGTGTTAGAAACACTAGCGTGAACTCAGACCCTAGCTGGTCTTTCCCGTTCACAATTTGACTGGGCAATATAACTTCATACACTTGTTCTTATTCAGCTTCCTTCCATTCCCCATGGGGAGTTGCCTCATCTACTACAACTTGCCCAGGAAGGCAGTCGGGATGCTTCTACAGCTGTAATTCAGACGTAGAAGTTTAGGGGCCATTCATTCTCTAGCTGGACAATTTATTTACAGGAAGACAAAACGTCAACAACATATGCAAGTCTTTGGCCAAGCTTTCCCCTTCAACTCACGCAACTAACAAACTGGTATAAAGGATACATTCACAGTGTAGCCACAGTTTGTCTAGTAGAAGCTAATAGCAAATTGTTTTGATCAATATTAAACTTGTATTAAATGCACTTACCTCTAATTCTTGCATTTAAAAGCCTTCTTGTAAATACAAGCTATAATTTATTGCACTTGTCACTGTATATTCATTGTGCTGCATCATTTATAGAAAGACTGCTTTTTTAAAAAAGTTTTTATTTAGAAAAATCTCAGTGTAAACAATTGTACCACTTTGATTTTATACAAGAAACTCATGAGATTGTGCTTCACTAGAAAGTTGTTAAAAACGTGATAATAAAGGCTTCCTTTAAGGCAGAAGTATATATATTGATCCAATACATCTGCCAGTACAACACTTAGCTTTCACTGTGGCTTTTTCACCCTTACACATTTTTAGATTGAACAGAATCAAAAGTTCTGGACAGACAGTGAAGTGAAGTACCAGGAGAAATTCACTGATTTAAAAGTTCATTGTTGTTTTGCCTTTTTTTAAAAAAAAAAAACACCCAACCTACTCCATATGATGGACAAAAATCAGCATCTTGACAGATTAGTCAAATTAGCCTGTAGCCATCCTCATTCCATGAGTTTCTGTGCACACAAGACAGCAGAATTCAGTCCTTGGTTTGCTGTTGTCTTTGTATCATGACAGTCTCTGCAGTGTAAATTCTTTGGCCTTCAATTATGTCTAACATGGAACATCTTATGCACCAAAGAATAGATCCATATTATAATCCAAGGCACCACAGAGTGCATGGTCCTAGCATTCAAACTTACCAACGCTTACAGCCTGGAAAAAGGTTAAGGCTCAAGAAGGGTGGGGAACTATTTTACACTACTGTAGAACAGCTGAATGGGGAAAAAAAAAAATTAAACATCATACTACTTGTTCTCAAAGTACTCTGAATAAGGAGCAGGTCAGCACAAAGTCTGGATTCAGGCGAGGGTAGGAAACGTCATCAGCTCTGAAGTCTAACTGGTCATGTAATATTAACGGAGCAGTTATAATAGCGCCTATTCACTTTGGCTCTATATAAGTAGAGCATAGTCACTCCTGTGGAGCTGGACAGAAGCAGCCTACGAAAATCCACCTGACACATGTACACTATGGCATCAGTAATGTTTAGGCACATGTTACAGTACCATCACTTTCATTATGGCTAGACCTCCCACGCTGAGAGGATTAACAGGAAACAACCAGCTCATGGTGGCCTGGTATCTTCCAAAGGTGTGTGTGTGTTTTCAACCTCCCGTGACTTTCCATTTCTTAACCAGCAGCTATATTAAGATAAATAAGGTTTAAGTACAGTTGTAGAGGCAAAAGTGACTCAACACAGCTGTAGCTTTTACCTTTCTAGTAATGGTGGGCAGTTTGTAAGGATTACTTTTTAACCAAATCTAACCTGAAGACAAAAATATTCTACTGGTGCCCTTAAGTTGGTTTTCTTAAAGTATTTTAGTCTCAAAGGAAACCATTTACACTTCACTGCGGGAACGCAGAAATGCAGTAATACTACCAATGCTGAAAATATTCTCAATTTGCACAGTAACTACTTGTTAGTTTTCCTTCACACACAGGATAGCAGGTCTTTAACACACACACACAGAGGGAAGATACCAATATTTAGTACATTCAATTTCCTAAACACAAAGAAAAAAATGTCCTAATCCCCACCCCCACATACACTATTTGAAAATTAGCAATGACTGAAATCCCTCAGCTACTGTACAAAGACAGCCAGGGAAGGAGCATCCAGACTTTTATTACAATTCATCCCTTGCCTGACGCAAGACAAAGCTATGCAGTGATTCAAGGTCTCTCGTTCCATTGTGTTCACTGACTTTCTTTCCACCTCGGAAAAGCAGAAGTGTAGGATAACCACGTACCTTCAAAAGACACACACACACACACATACACAAAAAAGAAACTTGTTACTAATGTCCAAACTCACTGGTATCCTTCACTTGTATTTACCTGAGACTGAAAAGCCACCAAACCCCACTAAAACAATAAGCCATTTTAATTTAAAAAAAAAAACCCACAAAAAACCAAAAAACCTAACCATCACACCAAAATTTCCAATGCCAACCTGCAATTTCTGAACATTTGTAAGTGAATGGATAATACATGTTCCTCTAGGGTCCTGGAATGGCAGCTCCAACTCTGCCTTCGCTTGTCTGCCTACCAGCACTAACAGACTTTTTTTTCTCTAGGAACAGAACTTGCATCGGCTACCACAAGACTGCTTTGGTGCTTTCACAGAGGGAGGCTTCTTAAATTAGGGACTTCTTCAGCTTTAGCCAATAATGAAAATGACCAAGTCTGAACAAACAGTCCAGGAAAGAAATTGTGTCACCAGGTGCTGTTGTGAACTACCTCTTTTTTGGCTAATGGAGAGCACAGCTGCACTGTCACCAGGCACCCGCAATGCAGCAGCCGGCTCGGCTGCACGCTGGAGCCTCTAACATTTGGTACACAATACTATCCCGTTCATTTCAGATCTTTCACACTTACAGAAAATCTGTTGCAGACATTACGTTCCACAGTGCAGTCTACTTCTGCTATTTTGACATCAGTCAAACCTGGAAATTGCTCTTTGGCAAGGTCCTCCCAAGTTGGAGCCAAGTTCTTACAGTGACCACACCTAGAAACAGAAGACAGGGATTTGTTTAGCAGATATACCTTCCAGTTTATCTCTACTGTCTTGCTGCAATAGCTGTAAGTTTAACTAGCTGCCCTTCCTATCCCCTAATGATTTGGCCCTCCAACTCCCTTGCACTATTATGTCAGTAAATGAGCTAAGAAAAAGAGTGATTTTATGTAAGTTAAGCACGGAAGTAGTTGCTGGCCTTCATTAGTCTCGTCTGGAATGGTATTCTGGATGTCGGTGCATTAACATTTTATCCTACAGAGGAATATGAAGCCAAATAAAGATGAGCACAGAGAATATTTAAATGAAAAAAGCTTGCTGAGAAACAAGCATGTGTTAAGTAAGGCATAGAATGTCTGTAGTACAAATTAAATTCTTAAGTAGCATATGCCAGTTACGCTAAAGCTAAATAGTCCGAGTTTAATTATTTAAATGAGCTTTTAATTTCCCTATTAAATTTCTTCCAGTTCCTAACGGCCTCCTTGACCAATGTAGCACCACCCAATGCTGGAAACTCAATTTTAAGAGAGGCATTTGTCAACACAGATTCTGTTTTTATGAAGCACTCCAGTAGTTTAATGCACTTTTTCACCGAAGGTACTTTGAAGTTTAACCACTACCACTGTACTTTCAGGTGGATCCGCAATGGAATTGTTTGATAGTCAATAAGCTTCACTTAGCAGATGGGGGGGGGAAGTATCAGGCCCTGTTCTGATTTGTATTAAATAATCATTCCAGTTATATCATCAATAACAACAAAAAGCCTATTTCTATTTTATTCCCATATGTCTCTACAGTAACGTGAGAATGCGGTCCAGAGAGTACACACAATGAAACACTAGTGTCAAGAGAGAAAATGATACTGTAAAATGGCAGGAACTATAGTAAAGTATTAATTTTGTTTATATTTTGAACTTGGCTTAGCCAAGTTCATAACTTGAACTTCTTACTGCCTTCAAGAATTCCCAAAGCACTTTAGACTTTAAAGCTGCATTGCTCATTCTATTCTAACCCAGCTGCACCTTAATTGGGTTATTGAAACAGCCCCGTAATTGCCTCGAGGCTGGATCAAGGCATTTACAAAAATAATGAAAGATGTCTCAGCAAAAGTTTTCTTAATGCAAGCCAGTGTATATTTAAACCACCTTGTTAATACACAGTGACAGTATAAAAGCATTTCTGACCATGCACAAAAACTACTAGAACAGGATGATTTTATGCTTACTATGCAAGTTAACATTAATATTTATCCAAAACTAACTGAAAGACAGAACTAGCAAGGAACATAATAGTGTTTGCTGAGCCCTACATAAGTTAATCCACTTGGAAGAGAAAAAGGTCATTTATATGCAGAGCACTACAACGATATACATAAGC